ACGAGAACACTTTGCTACATGAGCACAAGGCCATTATCACACCCTAAGGGTGTAATAAGTTTGTTTGTTGTTTGTGCCTCTGGGCATGGGGACCTAGAGCTGGATCTCATGGCGGTGGGTGGCGGAGAGGATGGGGGTAATCCACGGTCGGGACTCATGGGATCTCTAAATTTGTAAAATTCTCACTCAAACAGTTTTCTATCCCTCTGCGCTGAGAAAACACGTTTAAACCCTTCTGCATCACTTTGTTGTCTTAGTCTCATCTTGCAGGATTCACCATCAATGCCATTTCCTCCAGGAAGCACTCTCTGGAGGAAGTATTGATACATTCACATCACATAATTTATGACTGACAGCTGCCTATTCTGGTTATTCCTAAGTATAGCACATCCTCCATGGGGATAGGGGTGGGTAGCAACCATCGGGCATGGTGGGAAAGGTTGCAGGTTCCTCTACATTCACCAACTCTTTCTTGCCAATTTCTTTTTCTTCTTCTTCTTTTTTTTTTTTTGTGAGACAGGTCCTGCCTGTCGCCCTGGGTAGAGTCGCCAACTGGCATCATCATAGCTCACCTGCTGCCGTCCCAACTCCCTGGGCTCAGCGATCCTCCCACACCTCGGTAGCCATCCAAATGTAGCTGGAACAGGGCATGCCCAGGGGGCGCCTGGCTGACCATTTTTTTCCCTTGCTTTTTGGTACAGAGACGGGTGTGTCGGCTCTTGCCCGGCTGGTCCTCTAACTCCTGAAGCCAAAGCCCCATGCTCCAGCCTCGGCTCCCAGGCGGCGCTAAGCGACTTACGGCTGTGCAGCCCACTGCTGCAGCCCCAACTCCTTAAAGATATGTGCAATATGGCGGCAGCTGCAAGTGGCTTTGTTAAATGTAAAAATGCAAATAAACCAAAACTCGTCGCAAGCACCGGCGTCAGGTCACCATGCATCATGATTGTCAAGTGTTCAGTAGCCCATGTGCTCTACTGGTGCTTGGATAACCACACGATATAACACGTTTTTTTCATTTTATCATTGCAGAAAGCTGTATTGGCTGGTGCCAAGTTCAGAGCAAGGTTTGGCAAACTACAGCCATATCGGGCTCATGGCCTGTTTTTATACAGCCCGTGAGTCAGCAGTGGTTTTCATCTTTGAAAAAAGAATGGATAAAACAAGACGATGAAAAACACATGACAGACAGGCGAAAGACATGTTGATTCCAGAGAATCCACGGTGCCCTCTTGGACAACAATTCAGAACCAAGGACAGCGGCACACGAGCCCCACGTGGCCACTGTGGGTGAGGAACTGAACTGCTAATTTCATTTCATTTAAATTAATTTACAAACAGCCACAGGGGAGAATGTTTCTGAACTGTTGGAGTAAAGACTTTTGAAAATCCACATAAACAATGAGAACACTGGCCAAAATGGTCAGAATCAATTTTTTTTTGGAAGTTTCCCCGTCTTATGTGATGCACACGTGACCTAAAAGGGACCTTGTATGAGATCTAGTTATTCCTTCTACAAATATGTCTTGAGTGTTTATTATATGCCAGGAAGAATATGGGGTTCTTGGGATACAATGGTAAAGACGCACACGGTCACTCTCTCCTATGTTCCTGGGTGCCTGGTGCAACGTACAGAACTGTTCTTTGAAGGGATACATTTGGATATGCAAGGTTTAGCCACCTTGGAGGCACCTCCGCAGTTGGAGGATAGGTTTATCCCACCACGTTTGCCGAGGGTGGATTGCATACAACTTGGAACTGGAAGCCCTTGCTGACCACATCACCCAGTGGCTTGCAATGCAGAGACAAGAACGAAGTCTAGAGAGGAGAAGTGATTAGCCTAAGGTCACAGCGCCAGACAGGACAGGGCAAATGCCTTTCATGTCCCATTGGGTGTTTCTTTTTTCCTCTCCTTCAGTGGTGGAGAAAGCCTAGGAGAGAACCTTGCCACCTTTTCCTAGTCTGAAAGCCTAAAATGTGGAGTCATCCCCAAGCCTCCAGATTCCCAGGGAAGGCTCCTGGTGCGGAAGTGGGAGCCTCCACCCCTGCCCCAGTGACCAGGAAGCCTTACCATCCACAAGGACGCTGTTCCGGTCCAAGGTGAAGTTCTGCAGCCGGGTACCATTCTGGGTCAACCGTAGGAATTCTTCATAGATGGCAACTCTGCTCAGCCTCCGAGTCAATGGTGAGAAGTAACACAGGGAATCCACTCCAGTGTGATTGCTGGGGGGGACGGACCTGGAAGGGGACGAGGCATGAACAGAGGTATGTGGAATTCTACCCTGATTCTAGGTTCCTCTCTGCTAGGCCCTGCACAAGAGAACTTTCTGCAATGATGTAAACATTCTGTGTCTGCACTGTCCAGTACAGTCATTAGTAGCCTCATGTTGTTATTAAGCACTTAAAATGTGACCAGTGCAGGTGAGGAATTGAATTGCTAATTTTATTTCATTTAATTAATGTATAAACAGCCCCTGGGGAGAGCGTTTCTTAATTGTTGGAGTGAGGGCTTTGGAAAATCCATATAAACAATGAGAACACTGGCCACAATGGTCAAAATCAACTTTTTTTCAGAAGTCTGGAAATTAACCAAAGGCTTGCAACAATCCAAGGCGTGTTTAGTTAAGAAAAGTGTTAGATCTCGGTAGAGAAAACAAGACTTGCGGCATTTTAACTCACATCATTTCCATAGAGCTCTCCCCAAGATCCTCAGTAATTTTGAAAACAAGCAGTTTCAGAACCATGGTAGCTGTGAAACCAGCTGCCAAGCAGCCACAATGGGTTTGGAGGTCCCCAAACATGTATCCCCAGAGAAATGTCATTATTTGATCTGTCTGAAAGCTCCTTGCAAAAGCCCTATTCTCAGGGCTTGTCTTCATTTGATTTGACTCAGAGCCTTGCTCAGTCAGGAAAAACTATTCCCAAGGTGCTTGTCAAAAACTATCAATAGTAACTGTTTAACACTGCAGCTAGCTGAGGACGTGATACCAGCTAGGCAAGAGGTGAGTCAAAAGCTTAAAAGGAAGATCTGGGGGAATAAATGGTCCACAGGGGGGTCTTTGAAATGCTCTGATGTATTTCTGGAATCTAGAAGGCAGCAAATGTGCAGGGCTATGTATTAATACATCACCAGGAGAAACTTGAGAAGGCCTTAAATCTCTCACCTCTAGTTGCAAGGTTGGATATTACAAGATCAATGTAATATGTCATATTAACAGAACAAAGGAAAAAAGCCACATGATGTTGACAGACACACAGAAAAAACATTTGACAAAATATAACAACCTTTCATGATTAAAAAAAAAAAACCCATCATAGTCAACAAACGAGGACTAGAAAGAAATTTTCTCAATATGATAACATGTATGAAAACCCCACAGCTAATATCCTACTTAATGGTGAAAGACTGAAAATTTCCCCCTAAGACCAGGAACAAGACAAGGATGTTTGCCTTCAACCCCTATGTTGTCCATATTGTACTGGAGATTTCAATGGGGAAAATTAGGTAAGAAAAATAAATAAATAAAGGCATCCAGATCAGAAAAGAAGATGTAAAACTATTTCCATTTGTAGATGACATGATATTACATATTCAAAAATCCTAAGAAATACACATACATATTACTAAAACCTATTAATTCAGTATGATTGTAGGATATAAAGCCAAAACACAAAAATCAATTGTGATTCTATACACTATCAATTAACATTCTAAAAATGAAATTAAGAAAAAAATTCATTTACAATGGCATCAAAGAATAAACTACAAATACTCAGGAATAAATTTAATAAATAAGTGCAAGACCTGTACACTGAAAACTACAAAACAGTGTTGAAAGAAATTTTAAAAGATCTGCATGAATGCAAAGGCATCCCATGTTCATGGATTGGGTATTTAATATTGTTAAAATGACAACTCTCCCCAAATTGACCTATGGATTCAATGACATCTCTATGAAAATCCCAGCTGGCTCTTTTGAAGAAATTGACAACTGATCCTAAAATTCATATGGAATTGCAAGGGACCATGAGTAACCAAACTCATACCGAGAAAGAACAAAGCTAGAGTACTTTACTTTCCAATTTCAAAATTCATTATGAAGCTATAGTAATCAAAATAGCATACTACTGGCATAAGGACAGACATATAGATTGATGGGATAGAATTTAGAGTCTATGAACAAACCAGTACAATTAACAGACAACTGTTTTTCAACAAGGGTGGCAGGACAATAGAGAATGAATAGTCTTTTTCACAAAGGTGCCAGGAAAATTAGATAGCCACATATAAAAGAATGAAGTTGGACCATTACTGTACAACACGTACAAAAATTAATTCCACATATATCAAAGATCTAAATGTATGAGGTAAAATTACAAAACTCTTAGAAGAAAACATAGGTGTAAATCTTCATGACCTTGAATTAGGCAATGGTTTCTTATATGTGGCACTAAAAGTGTAAGCAACCAAAAGAAAAAAATAAATAAATTGTATTTCATCAAAATTAAAAGCCCTTGTGCTTCAAAGAATGCTGTCAAGAAGGCAAAAAGAAAACCCTCCAAATGGGAAAAGATTTTCAGATCATGTATCTGATAAGTTTCTAGTATCCAGAATATATAAAGAACCATCACAACCCAACAGTAAAGGACAAATAACCCAGTTTTAAAAAGCAAAGAACTTGATACTTCTCCAAAATACCCAACTAGCCAATACACACAGGATAAGATGTTTAACTTCATTAGTTATCATGGAAATGCAAATCAAAGCCACAGTGAGATATCACTTTATACATACTCGGATGGATGGTTATTTAAAAATAAAATGACAAGTTGGAGAGAATGCGGGGAATTTGAAAGCCTCATATATTGCTGGTAGGAATATAAAATAGTGCAGCATCTATGGAAAACAGATCAGTAGTTCCCCAGAAGTTAATATAGAGTTAAACATGACCCCACAATACCATTCTCCTAGGTATAGGACCCAGATGATTGGAAACATAAGTTCACACAAAAACTTGTACAGGAATGATCGTAGCATCCTGCCTCATCATAGCCAAAAACTGGAAACAGCCCAAATGTTCGTCAATGGATGAATGAATCAACAAAGCAGGGTAGAGCCACACAATGGAATATCCCTTATTCAGTCTTAAAAAAGAAATAAAGTACTGATACATGCTACTGAAACTGCTTTTTACACAAATCAATAACGGGGTGCAAGGTGATGACTATGGTAAGAGCCTAGTTAAAAATAAGGCACAGGCTTAGCTAAAAATAATGATAATTATTAGCCACTGTCCCCCTGATTGCCTCTCTATAAGTGCCACACTCAGAGCCACATAGCTGGTGGTCATAAGGACGCTTAGTTTTTTGCATAGATAGCATCACCTCTTTGAAACCCAGGGGCAGTTTCTGAGATGTCTTCCAGGTCCCGAATTCCGGTGGAACAGCTGACCCACCTGGACCAGTGGCCCATACCGAGGAACTGACTCAACTGGTCCTGTGAGCCCCATCCAAGCACCTGGCCAGCAAAGAAGACGATTTCTACAAGCCTTGGTTCCACCCTGAACCAAGCCAATGAGCAGACTCAATTACCTGTGCCTGACTGTCTTGAAAAACCTCTGTCTCCAAATGCTCGGGGAGGCAGATTGGAGAAACTTCTACCTCCCCGCTTAGCGGTATGTGGCATAAACTCTCTGCTGTAACCCCTGCTGTCTCAGCACATCAGCTTCCTCCTGGACAGCAGGCAAGCAAAGCTGGTTGGATGGCAACACTACAACGTAGATGGACCTTGAAAATGTTACACCAAGTAAAACCAGCCAGTCGCAAAAGACCACATGCTGTACCCCATTCATACGAAATGGCCAGCACAGCCAAAGCCACAGAGACAGAAAGTAGATGAGTGGTCGCCAGGGGGCTGGAGGAAGGGAGGGAAGAATGAGGAGTGAATGCTAACGGGTATAGGCTTTCTTTTTGGGGTGATTAAAACATTTTAAAATTAGATGGTGGGGATAGTTGCACCATCCTATGAACATATCATTAAATTGTGCACTTGAAGGGTGAATTTTATGGTATGTGAATTACATCTCAATAGCTGCATAAAGAATTTAAATTGCTTTACATGGTTAGTGGGTTACCTTATTGGAAAGCACCTTATTAGACCACTGGATTCTAAGTCATTCTGTTCACCCCCTACTCCTTCCTCTCCTCTCCTCTCCTCTCCTTACTCTCCTTCTTCCTCTCTCTCCTCTCTCTCCTCTCTCCTCTCCTCTCTCTCCTCCGCCTCTCCCCCCTCCTCTCCCTCCTCCATCCCTCTCTCCTCTCCTCTCCTCTCTCCCTCTCTCCCCTCCCTTCTCCTTCCCTTCCTCGCCTCTCCTCTCCCCTCTCTCCTCGTCTCTCCCGTCTCTCTCTCTCCTCCTCTCCTCTCCTCTCCTTCCTCTCCTCTCTCTCCTCTCCTCTCTCTCTCTCTCTCCTCCCCTCCCTCCCTCCTCTCCTCTCTCATCCCTCTCCTCTCTCTCCCCTCCTCTCCTCTCTCTCCTCCCCTCCCTCTCTCATCCCTAACTCCCTCTCCTTCTCTTCTACTCGTCCTTCCTCCTCTCTTCCTTCCTCCATCTCTCCTTCCTCTCCTCCTCCTCTCTCCTCTCCCGTCTCCCCTCTCCCTCCCTCCTCTCTCCTCCCTCTCCCTTCCCCGTCCTCCCTCCCCTCTCTCTCTACCTCCTTCCTCTCCCCTCCTCCCTCTCCTCCTCCGTCCCCTCTCCTCCCTCTCCTCTCCTCTCCTCTCTCTTCTCTCCTCTCTCCTCTCCTCTCTCTCCTCCCTCTCCATTCTCCCTTCCTCCCCTCCCTTCCTCTTCGTCCTTCTCCTCTCCTCTCTACCCTCCCTCCCTCCTCTCCTTCTCCTCTCTCTTCTCTCTCTCTTCTCCTCTCCTCGTCCTTCCTCTCCTCTCCTCTCTCTCCCCTCTCTGCTCCCTCTCCTCCCTTCTCCCCTCCCTCTCCTCTCCCTCTTCTCTCCTCTCCGCCTCCTCTCCTCCTCTCTCCCTCCTCCTTCTCTCTCTCCTCTCCTTTCCTTTTCTTTTTCCTGTTTTTTGAGATGCAGTCTCACTCTGATACCCAGGCCGGAGTGCAGTGGCATCAACCTAGCTTACTACAACCTCGAACTCCTGGGCTCAAGCGATCCTCCTGCCTCAGCTCCCGAGTAGCTGGGACTACAGGTGTGCATGACCATGCCCGGCTAATTTTTCTATTTTTGGTAGAGACGGGGTCTTGCTTTTGCTCCGGTGGGTCTCAAACTCCTGACCTCAAGTGATCCTCCCTCCTCGCCCCCCAGAGTGCTAGGGTTACAGGCATGAGCCACCACACCCAGCCTGCAGATGCTTCCTCGAGTTTCTAAGCCAGTTGGTGGGCTCCCTGGTTTTTTGTTTTTGTATATATATATTTAGGTGACAGCTCTATATGCCTAGGGCTCTTGTCCATAGCTATGGCTTGGGGACACTTTCATTTAAAGCACAACAGAAATCCCCAGGGTCCTGAGGTCCTGAGTTGGAACTCACCTGAATGCTGATACTTGACAGTTATCAAAGTAACTCCCGATGTTGCTGTTTCGGAAGAGCTGGCTGAGCTGAAAGACAAGGCAACATTTCTCGGGTCAGCATCCGACGCCCAGTAGCATCAGGGAATTTGCAGCCACTAAGCATACTTCCTCATCTATTTTTTTTTCTTGCCATGACAAACACTAGCCCAGGCGTGTGTACCAAAGGATACCCCATTCCATGGTACGACTTAGCTGTAGGATGCTGTGCCTGGCTCCTGAACCTCTCTGTGCCTGTGTCCTAATTTATCAAATGGCAATAAGAGTCTGTCTTCATGCGTTGCTATAAAAGTCACGCTCTGGCTACCCGGTGTCCACAGGTCAGTCTGTGCATGGGCACAGAGTGGACACACCACCCCGTCTCACCGCATTCTCAATACTCCTTTTGTTTCGCTGGTGTTTGGTAGTGCTTGGCTGGGCCATGTCCTGGGAATACGGTAGGTTGGTGATGGTGAAATTCAACTGGAAGTGCTGGGATGTGGGTCTGCTTAGCTCCATTTCTAGAATTAAAAAAAAAAAAAAGAAAAGGTATGTAAAAATCCCATATCAAGAGAGGGTTTTTCTATTGTAAACAGTGTAGAGGTTCCTCGAAGAAATAAACATAGGCCTATCATTTGACCCAGCAATCCTGCTGCTGGGTACCCACTCAAAAGAAAAGAGGTCTTGTTAGTGAAAAGATACCAGCCCTTGAATGTTTATCGCAGCATAATTTATAATTGCAGAGATGTGGAATCAGCCTAAGTGCCCATCCATTCACAGGTGGCTAAAGAAAAGGTATACACGTGTATGTATATATATAACAGAGAACTACTTAGTCATAAGAAGGAATGAAATAATGTCGTTTGCAGAAATTTAGCTGGAGTTGGAGACCACCATCCTAAGTGAAGTATCTCAGAAATGGAAGACCAGGTGCTTCATGTTCTCACTTGTAAGTGGGAGCTAAATGGTAGGTACACACAGGCACCTAGCTGTGTGTACATAAAGGACATTGGAAACCAAGAAGGGGGCAGGGTGTGAGGGATAAAAAGCTTACCTCTCAGGTACAAAGAACACTATTCTAGTGACAGGCACACCCAAATCCCTAACTTAAGCATCATATAAGGTACGCATGTAACAAAAATATTTGTACCCCCTTGATATACTGAAATTAAAAAAAAAAAAAGAATTCCTAAAAAAAGAGTGTTTTAAGAAAGTGGTCATTCCAGTCAGACTACTTATTCCTGGCAGTGTGATCTGAGCTGGATTTAAAAGAAAAATTTTTTTTTGAGATAGAGTATCACTTTGTTGCTCAGGCTAGAGTGAGGGCCATGGTGTCAGCCTAGCTCACAGCAACCTCAATCTCCTGGGCTCAAGCGATCCTCCTGCCTCAGCCTCCCGAGTAGCTGGGACTACAGGCATGCGCCACCATGCCCGGCTAATTTTTTCTCTATATATTTTTAGTTGGTCAATTAGTTTCTTTCTATTTATAGTAGAGACAGGGTCTTGCTCAGGCTGGTTTCGAACCCCTGACTTTGAGCAATCCACCCGCCTCGGCCTCCCAGATTTCTAGGATTACAGGCGTGAGCCACCGCGCCTGGCCTTGAGCTGGATTTTTAAGGGTGGGCTACAGAAGACCCTCCATCCACCTGTCCAGCTTGTATCCATCCACCTGTCTACCTGTTCAGTTCTCTTTCCACCAAGTGTTATAAAAGTTCGCTATGATGCAGGGAAAAGAGACTGTGTATCTCTGGGGTGCATTCAGCATGTGCAGGTGGACATCTGTCACACTTTTGCCGAAACTTCTGATTGATGAGTAGGTTCCCAATGGGTCTTCCCGCCTCTGGGCTTGTCCTCCCACCCCATTCTCCATGCAGCACCCAGAGGATGAACAGAACTCATTTCACTTTCTTTTCTTTTTTTAGACAGTCTCTCACTCTGTTGATCCAGCTAGAGTGCAGTGGTGTCATCATAGCTCACTGCAGCCTCCAACTCCTGGGTTCAAGTGATCCTCCTGCCTCAGCCTCCCAAGTAGCTGGGATGACAGGTACGCACCACCACACCCAGCTAATTTTTCTATTTTTGGTAGAGACAAGGTCTCACTCTTGCTCAGGCTGGTCTTGAACTCCTGGCCTCAAGCGATCCTCCCACCTCGGCCTCCAAAAGTGCTGAGATTATAGGCTTAAGCCACCATGTCCGGCCACATTACTGATTATTAAGGGGCCTAAGCAGGCAACTCAGGATCTCCCTATATTTGGGGCTGGAAAAATTTAGACCTCAAAAGCACCATTTTTCCACTGGGTGCAAACTGCTGCCTGTTGTCTTCCCGCCTCTGTGGGATGGCCCGCCGCCAGGGGTCACCAACACGGACCTCCAGAAAGCCCTGTTTCTCCCTCTAGAGCCACCACTTAACCCCCCCCTGCTATTCAGAAGCCCCGTCCTTCATCACATGACCACATCCCTTCCAGCTGTGACGCCAGCCACCCCGCCGTGTACCTGTCACACGCAGGTCCGCCAGTTGGTAGGTGGCGCCCAGCCAGTAGGACGAGCCATTCCGGGTCTCATCCTGAAAGATTTGCTTCACCAGTTTGGGGTCCAGATTGGAAGAGAACAATGTTCTGACAGTGACCCACATGGGGTCCAACCTAAGGACAGAAACCACGGGAATTCAGCCAGCCCTCAACACCAGCAGTGTCCCAAGTTGCTGTCTTCAAAGAGGCAGAGACGTGGAGACAGGCCGTGGGTGGGGGGGTTGTCTAGCTCCTCCTCCCCCTGTCTAGAGAAGAGACCCCGACCAACGCGGGAAGGCTTCCAGGGATTGGAGCTAGAAGCAATGACAGTAACAATAATGGACATTTATTAAGCACTTGCTAGATCTGGACCCCTAAGAAGTAATTCCCACATTCCCACACTATCACTCCGATGAAAGGTATTATTACAATTATCTGCACCTTAAAGACAGGGAAAAAAAAAACAACAAACCCCAATGTTTGGAAATATTCAAGGTCAGCCTTGTGTCCTTTTCCCCAATACAGATATCCTAGTGCCTTTGCCCTGCCCTCTTGGGTTCAGATCTCAACGTTGACGGTTCTCTGAGCCTCAGTTTTCCCATCTGAGCAAGGGGGACGTCCCCACCTCACAAGGGGCTGCCCCGTGAGCATCAGATGCGGTGACCGTGCATGCAGATGCTGGCTGGGGGAGCCAGGCTGGTGCTGCATATTATTATCGGGCTGATATTTTGAATTCTGCGTCAAAAAGTTGCCTCTCCCAAATGTCCAGAGAAAAAGGAAGAAGGGGGTGGATGCTGGAAACCGGTGGCCCCATTAGGTGAACCCCCACGCCCTGCCCTGCAGGTTTATTACGGAAGCAGATGGTAGAATTCGCCGACGGGGACCAATGGGCACCAAGCTGGGGACTTCCAGCTCAAGGACGTGCCATGGGCGCTCAGAGGCCAAGCTGCCGGCTTGGCCAACACGTCCGACCTTCTGAACTTACGTTAGGTTGGTGATCAGGCAGGTGCGGAACATGTCCTGTAGCTGGCTGCGTGCGTAGAGTGCGGTGACCTGGAAGGAAGAGGAGGGAGAGTGAGTGGGAGGGAAAGAGGTCTTTGGTGGTGGTGGTGGTGGGGGGGCGGGGCTGGCAAGGCCACCGAGGCAAAGGAGGCCTGAGTTTGAATCCTGGTTCTGTCCCTAACTCACTGTGCGACCGTAGGCACGCCATGAGCCTTTCTGAGCCTCAGTTTCCCACATGGGAAATGAGAAAGGCAGCCCCGGTACCACCTTTGGAAGTGGAGAAAATCCACAAGACACAGGTAAAGTGAAGAGGGTTGAAACAACCACTTGCTAGAGATAAGTCAGGTGGGGGGAGAGGGGCGGGCAGAAGCCCCACCTTGTTCTGGATGTCCCTCAGCAGGGCGGTGTACTCCAGAGAGGTGGGGTCTGGATTGTTGAGGTTCCCGTTGACGATGCGGAAAACAAGCTGGTACTCGCTTGAGACCGATACGTTGTGGGATACATGAGCGGCAGCTGCAGAGAAGAAAAAAGGGTGGGGACCCTTAGCTTTTTTTTGTTTTGTTTTTATTTTTTGCACAAAGCCAAGATATCCCAGGGTCACCCTGCTAACTGCCAGAAGTAGCCAAAATCAGGTCACATGCTTGGGTCTACAGGGGCTCCTAAATGGAAAGTTACCCCCCCAAAAGGGGAGGAAAACTGGAATTTTATAGGAATTCTCCTGGGGTGAGCTTTCCTGCCTGTGTCCCTGCTACGCAGTTCCACTTCTAGGAACGCTCTTCCATCCTCTTATTCGCCTGGAAAACTCCTATTCATGCTTCGAGAGCCCAGCAAGGTGGAGCTCCAGGAGAGCTGTGGCCCCATCCTGCTCTAGGACCACCCATGGCTCCCTATGGCCTTCCAAGTTAAGTTCAATCTTCTTGAGTCGGCATTCAAGGTCCTTCCTGATCTGGCTCCAGAGAACCGTTCAGCTTCATTTATGCATCCACTCTGGGTTAAACTTTATGCTTCCTGCAAACCGAATTCCTCTCCATTCTCCCCATACACTGTATGCTGTTTCTGGCTCCTGAGCCTTTGCTCACAGAATCAATCCCCTCTGCCAGGAATGCTCTTCATGCCCCATCTGCCTGGATCACTCTCAGTCATCCTTAAAGACTCCGTTTAGGTGAAACTTTGTGCAGAAAGCACCTCCCCCCCCCAAACTATGCCCGGCGTCTCTCCCCAAAACATCCCACACTGTGTTATGAGGCTATGTTTGTCTCATGAGGCCGGGTGGTCCATGGGGCAGGTGCCTGATTGAACCCTAGTCTGATCTTTGTGACCAGGATGATCACCCTGACACTATAGTCTTCATACCCTTCCTTCCCGGCCCCGGTATGACGATTAGCTGGTGGGGGTGCGGGGCTGAGGGGCTTCTCTTGGGAAGGGACAGGAACCCCAGATACCTGTGGTGGATACTGGAGGAGGCGGGGCAGTGGTGGCTGGCTCAGGAGCTGTGGAAAGGCAAGTCATCAGAGAGGGACACAGGCTCCCACCTAGTGGCAGAAGCCCCCTCACCTGGGATAAAACAGAGGTCCAAGCCAGGACAAACATTCACAAATGGGCCATAAATGAGAGTGGCCATAAATGAGGGAAATGAGAGGCCATAAATGAGGGAAAGAGTGATTGGGTGAGTGGAAGGGGGTGAGCAATCCTGTGAGTTAAATTTACCCGAGAGGGTGAGAGGGGGGGGTGAAGAGAGAGAGGCTGAGTAGAGAGGATGGCAGAAATGGATAGACAGGCAGAAAAATGGAAGGTGAGATGGATAAACAGGAGGAAGAATGGACAAATGGTAGGAAAAGAAGGCAAGAAGAATAAAAACAATGAGGAGAAGTTGGACAGAGAAGCAGAGAAAAAAAATGGTGAATGGGCAGAAGAATGGGTGGACAGATGATAGATGGATGGATGAAAAAGATGGATAAGTGGATGGGTGGGTAGATGAATGGATGGATGGGTGGATGGTGACAGAGGTGAATCGGCTGTGAATGGTGCTGGCATAGGTGGGATGGAATTAAGGTGGGTGGAATGGAATAGGCGTGGGTTGGTGGAATGTTGGGTGATGATGGTTGGGTGGGTTGGATCGGGTGGATGGGTGGGTGGTTGTGCATTGATGGGTGGTGTGTGGGTGGATGGGATGGTTGGTGGATGGGTGGGTGTCGTGGGTGAACTGGATTGGTGGATGCTTTCTCGAGGGGATGTCGCCAGCCATCCCTCCCTTCCTGAGGGGAGGCGGATGGCTGACAGACAGATGAGTACCCACTGATAAGAAGAATGAGGTACACTTTCACCAAATACTACTTGAGTAGGCCATCAGAATTTGCAGCTTTGACCCACAGAAGGACCCTGCCGGTGTGTCCTAATGGAGCACTTTGTCATCCGCCCAGGAAGCGGGGCTACAAGGTCCATCCTCTGACTGTCCTCACTCCGCTGTCAGGGAATATTGTCAACTTCTTCCCTCCACCCAGAGGGGTGTGGGAAAATTCAGAAGCCAATAACACCACAGCTGGGCAGGCCCCAGAACGAGCCCTAGGACTGCAAGCATTCTCCCTCCCACGACGGCAGCTGCCCGCATCAGGAGACTGGCGTGAGCCTTGGGGCAGCTCCCTTCCCACTGAATGAGGGGAGAAGAGCTTGCCCAAGACCCACGGAGGGCTGAAATGGGCACTGATTAAAAGACACGCATACCTGTGGGAAGGCTTCATCCGGACCATGTTCGTGGATAACTGGAAACAAAAAGGTCCACGTAAGGGAGGTGACACTAACCAGTCCCAATCTCTTCTGCCTCCTGTCCACGTGGGCCTCTGGCTGCTCACTCGTGTACCTGAGTGAGGATTTGATGCATCTCCTAAGAATCTGACTTAAATTCGGTTCCCTAAAAGGAATTCCCGATGTCTCAGCTCCCCAAAGCTGACTCTTCTGACCACCCTCCCTCTGGCGTGCTCCCAAACAAGCAGGCTCTTACCTTACCACCATCTGTCCCTCACCTATTCATTTCGTCCCCCCCACACTCCCCTTCCCACCCCTCCTCAACTCCTCCCTCCCATCCAAACTGCATATGTATTCAAGGCCCTTACTACGGGCGCAGCTCCCGATCAGCATTTGGGTGGACACCCGAGTGCTGACAGAGACAGTCTCCTTGCCACCGCGAGAGTTCCGTTTCCATTAGGCACGGTGCACAGGCACCTAGCTCCGTCCTGGAAGCCAGGACCAAGCGCCTGGCCGTATATGCTTAGTTAATCTGAACGAACACACACACGAAACACGTAAACTGTGGCGGTTTGCAGAGGGAAGAAGCCCTGAACAGGCCCTGCAGAGTGGCCAGTCACAAGATGTAGAACTCCCGGAAGCATCAGACCGCGCAACCTGCGACTCGTTTGATTGTGCCAGCTGTTCACCA